TCGGTTTGAAGTTGGGGAATTTTGTTTCATTGGAGAGGTTATTAGGGAAATTACGTAGAAGTGGCGGGGAAAGAGCTCGCAACGCATCTAAAAATCCTGCCCTGAGCCACCTAAGTCTGTAGACCTGTTAGGATAGTGCGTGTTATATTTCGGGTGGTGGCGGTGCTCCCCCAGGTATATTCGGCGTCGATGTACACGTCGGCTCGTGAGTTAACCCTCTTTGAGTACCTCCTCCAGTTCTTACAAGCTCATTTTAAACTGAGAAAAGACAGAAACAATGCTGACTTTTGTTACAATTATAATGCATTCTGACACTTCATTTCTTACTTTAGTTTGGCCTCAAGAATTGTGAAGTAAACTGACGATTTTCATTTTATTTTCTTTGTTATAGGCAGTACATTTACTTTTTCGTATACGTACGAACATACGGAGTGTTATACGCAGCGTAGAGAAAGTTATATAACGCTTCTGCAAAAAACGACGATTCTTTGACAGAAACTAGTGGTATTTCAGAGTTGCACATACTTTCTCGTACTAGTAAGTTTTCTAATTTCTTTAGTCTGGGTTAGCCTTTCGGACTTGCCACCTACTCTTAATAGCTGTCATGTACCGCCGCACAAGTACATTTTTTAAAAAGTATTCTCAATTTTTCTGTTTCCTAGTAGTAGAACCGAAATAATACTTTAAGAATATTAAAGATCTTTTCCAGGAGTAATCGCCTTATAGTACCGAGCCTGGGTAAGCTTTCATCTCCCAAATGGTCTTCAAATACTTAGTAGTATATTTACATCGGACTACTTAGTAGTGTAGTACACATAAATGTGTGTGTGGGTGCGTGTAAGAGAAGAGGACAGGGATAAGCAAGGAACGATTGCGTACGTCCCATGGACCATTTATTACGGTACTGATACATTTGTCTGAATTTAAGCGGAATAATCACGGAAAACTACCGATTCGCTCTAGCTATCCTAGGACATTCGCAACACACAAAATTCCGTGCAACGAAGTTATAAACGTAACATTTGCCCCTGGTTGTTTGGCAACTCCTCATGCACCTGGGTTCGGGAGTTTCAAGAAATTCCATTATTGCGTCAGAACGCGATCTGTCGAACACTAGTGAATGAGGAGTTACTTCACCATCAAGGACATGCATCACATATGTAATATTGTTACATGAAATATCACCCGGTATGTTCACTGGAGAAAAGTTAACATCTTCTATATCCTTGTATATCCATATATTTGTAAATTTGTTTATTCTGAGACATCCAGTCTCCGGCTGCATATGTATGAGGTAGAATCTAGTGCTGACGTTGGTAGCTCATAAGATGCAATGAAAGAAATTCCCAGCAATTGGGCCTTGTAGGTGGGTCACCCCTGACATAAAAAAACGTTTCTGAAAGTCTGGCAATATTTACATTATATTGGTGTCTGATTAACGTGTTTTATGAACATTATTGTATCACTTCCAATTTCTGCAAGTCAGCTCGCGAAAATAAAACACGCTTAAAGATTCACAAAAATGAGAAAGCAAGGTTAAGACTGTTGGTAGTATTAGGCTGAAGAACTTTGTTAACTGTCATGCAAACAGCCAAAGTGTTAAGGGAATCAGCCAAATAATGTAGGCAAATCTCGTTCTTTTTTTTGAAGCGGAAAATAATTGCCTATTAAATGACAAACGTCCTATGAAAAATTAATTTAAATTCTCTTGTTAAATCTCACTCAAGCATGTTTGTAATTGAGAGCGTAGGCTTCCGCGGCCGGAGTCAGTATTTACTAGGCTGTCCGGGTGACGCCGCGTCCATGGCGAAGGTGCCGACGTTTCGGTCGCCATTCTGCGACCTTCCTCAGGGCGTAATGCCGCATTTAACCGCGACCGAAACGTCGGCACCTTCGCCATGGACGCGGCGTCACCCGGATAGCCTAGTAAATAATGTTTGTAATTACTTGCTTTTACTCGGGTACATCAATTTAGCTTTATCTTACGAGTCACAATTCTAAACAATATGTCTCATACCTTTTTTAAACTCTTGATCTATACATACAATTTTATTCAGTTCACGAACCCCATTGATCAGTTGCAGGTACAATTCTTTTTGCTGAGGAGGGTGGCATCTTGCAAGGTATTCATCTATGTCTTTTAGATTATTTTTCAACGTTCTACAGAAAATAGTTGCCATTAATATACTTTCTAGTGAATTATTTTAGATATACTTCAGGAACTACTTTAATAAAAGTGAAATTTTAATTCCATACTTGCACATTTCATTGATGTTATTTCCGGATGCTAGCTGTATAATGCTCTCGGGGCTTATTACTTGCAGGCGAGCAAGATACGTCATAAGTGATTCAAGCTCGCATTCAGGGAGAGACTGTATATCATCTCTTTTATAATTATTATTTTGGGAAATATTCAGTAGCCGTTGTTCGTGATCATCTCCTAGAATTGAAATTGCTCTTTTAAATCTGTTCAAATTGATTGGAAATATTTTCATTTCTTCTCTCTGTGCCTTATGTGCCTCCTCCATCATATTTTCTCTATTTTTATTTATATATTTACAAATCAAATCAGTAACATATTTGCCTCCTCTCTTGTACTCATGCACGCAAGCTTTATTTTCTTTCTCGGTGTTTAGTCTGTCCTCATAATTAATTCTTTGCGAGAATGATATACCTACAACACATTAGATTTTACACAATGATATACCTACAACACTACGTTACAATCAACTAGAATATGGATAATTTGAATGTATAAACTATGGAGATAGGAAACAACAAAATACACAGGGTATAAATTATTATTAATAATAACAATAATATTAATTATTATTATTACAGCAATAAAATGCATAGCGTAATTAAAATGCATAAGTGTAGTCCTCACAAATTGATACTTTTATTTTCATCACAATGACCAATATAAATTGTGTTTGAAAATATTTATGATTTCAATATATTTTGGTAATAAATTTATTTATATCTATCTACCTATCTCTCTCTCTCTCTCTCTCTCTCTCTCTCTCTCTCTCTCTCTCTCTCTCTCTCTCTCTCAAAGACACTGAATCTATCTTTACATTATTTGTAACCTCCACCGTACTTGGGTGTTTTGTAGTCGTAAAAAAATAAAACACACGGCAAGCGAAACCCTCACTGTAAGGTGTAATGTTATTATGGTTATTGCAGTAACCGTAATCGAATGAATCATAATTGACTAACATAAATAAATATTAAAATGAAATGACATATGTTTGCTTTTTTATTTGTCTATTCAACAAAAATATTGTTTATTACTTGTAATTTCCAGGTCAGTGATGAATAGATACATTACTTGTCACGATAATCCAATAAACAATCATTCCAGTATGCCGATGATAATAACACTGCATTGTATTTCATTCTCTCAGAAAGTCTCATTAGTTACATTTTTCGCAGATTTCCTTATCATTACATAGACATAACATTTCTGATTCAATACTTGGTATTTCAAATATTTCCATGCCAACTGAAAACAATGAAATATCTTCTCTATCTGAATTTTTAGTAAAAAATGTATATTTAAATACTTTCCATAATTTTCATAATTATACTGGTTTGTGAGATAAGGCCCATTCCCGCTCAACCGTTTGACATGTCCATTCACTTAAAATGTACCAAATCAGCAAGATTTGCAATACTAACTTCCCACAAACTATATTTGAAAAGAAGAACAATCTGGTCGGAATTCTTTGCGGGCGTTTAAATGTGTGGTATGAATAAAAGTAAGCAATTAGTTTTTGCTCCGACGTTCGGAGAATATTCTCAATTTCGTATTAATAAAATTTTTGAGCAATTGCTCAGTCTCTGAACACTTGCTCCTTCTCTGAGAGTACTCTCACCTGTCGAGCAAATGCTCAGAATTGGTATGGATAAAGTTTAGCGTTTACTCTGTAGATTGAGCACTTGCTTGCATATGTGGGAGGAATCTCAGTAGCAGACTCACGTTTGAAAAGTAAGGTTAAAATGGCCGTGTATATACCGTGTGCTAACATGCAGATGCAGCGGAGTAAAACAATTACAAGATTCGGCGAGATTCTTCTGACACGGATTATAAAAATTTTAGCGATTCGAAAAGGACAATGTTGTATGGTTGATACATTTTCTCGGCGATCATGAAGAAACAAGAGACAAATCTCCAGCCAATGAGCTAAAATGGAAATTTTTCTTCGCTACGTGGCCCATCCTGGTTTTCAGGTAAGAGTGGCAGAAGAGGTAGGTGTGTATCAGTCCACAGTGAGCAAGACGTTTGGTTTCGTCATGGAGATAATAAAAGAAAAAAAAATATTGGATACAGTTCACAAGAACTGCAATAGATCTGCAGGCAAGAGATTTGTGACAGGAAACACACTTTTCCGAATGCACGCTTTCCCTAATGCAATTGGTGCTCTTCACTGGACACATATTTTGATTAAGAAGCCACTTACTCATGATAATGATTACATCAATAGGAAAGGTCTTCATTCTATTAATATTCAAGCAACATGCAATGCTATAGAAGAATTTACTAGCATGGACGCTTTTTGGCCCGGATCAGTGCACGTTTCTCACATTTGGATGAATTCCCATCCATGCAGGTTAATATAAGGCCAAAGCCACATGATGCTACTTGGTGATTGAGGCTATGGAATTGCTTCATGGCTCATGGTGCCACATAAAAATCCTGTAACGCCAGAGAAATTCTCTTTCAATAGATATTTGAAAAAAGAGCGAGTTACCATTGACCGATGATTTAGGCAACTAAAACTAGGCTTTCCGAGTTTACAAAGCAGAGTGAGACCAACAACAGAAAAGATACCATCTGTTGTTTTGTGCTGTTTTATTTTGATTTTTTTTACATAATGAGGATTTTGCTACTGACGTCATTGAACCTAAGGGAGAATTACACCCCTCAGAAGAAGGAAGAGCTTCTGACAGATTGAGACGACAACGTAGGAGGGACGAACTGCCAAGAACAATACACAGATTTTAATTTGTAAGTATAATTTTCTTTATTTACTGTGGAAAACAACACATTCACTTTCCCTCATATTTTTCTCCCACAGATATTTTTCCTTTTTTAATCTCAGCACTTGCAATTCTTCGAATAGAACAAGTCAATGTTTGACATACGTTTTGTTTCTTCAATTTCTAAATCGACTAATATTTTTTTCACTGGGCGAGATAGCACCCTCGCACGGGACCCGCTGCTACTCTCCGTACGTGTTTCTTCTTCAGAAACACATCATGCTGCTTCATTGCTGGTTCCAGCTAAATATTCTGTTTCTAGAATTGATATAAAATGTAATGTAAATGATTGTGAATATATTCAGTTAACATAATGAGATAAAAAGAACATGTTACTTACACAAATTATAATGTAAATGATTGTGAATTTCATTACCTTTTATTTCAAATAATTTCTTACCTTTTATTCGTCATACATAAATCGTACTATAATATAATTTCCTCCATGGTTATACCATGGATGAATACAAGGATACCCAACTCCGTATCTTCCCTTAAGAATACATTCCTGGCCCGATGGTGCTGTGCCCAGTGAGTGACCAAGGACAACTTAAGTTCCCGGCGGCTTGGATTTGCCCTTAGCCCGTTGTTTGCTACCATCGTATCGTGTCGTATCGTATTTTATAGAGAATGTGTATTGAAGTGTATAAAGATTGCAGAATTATATATATATATATATATATATATATATATATATATATATATATATAAAATATAAATTACTGTATTTTGTTTTCTTTCATAGTAATACAGGCCCATGACAGTTGAATCTGGAATAGACGAATGCTGACAACAAAGGAATTATTTTTATTCTTTTCTGGTTATCTATTTAAAAACTTAATGGTTTCTTTTATGGAATTTTTCTTTAACTTTGCTTTCTAATACATCCCATTATTAAAGATTGTTAATCATTAATAAACCAGTTAGTTAAATTTGATTTGTAACAATAACAATCTGCATTAGCTAGATTTCTTTGACGTAACCCGCTCCTTTCAGTAATTCGTATTGGCAGGTATCTCTGAAATTCGAATTTGGCAGTTTTGTGCCGGGTGAGTCCACCATCGTACGTCGTGAAGCACTCTAATCAGTGATGCAGAGCATGTACAGTTTGTTTGTACATGTGTTCTTGGTGTTAATTTATTGTTATACTGTGACATACTTGACTACACTCTAATTTAAATATAGTGCCTCCTAAAGATAAGGTGGTGAGGGGAACATGTCCAATCTGGAGTTTTGTTACGTCTCGAATGTCTGGTATTAAAGTTTGTGATTGGATAATTGTACCCTCTCTCCATCCTGTTTGTGACGTTGAAGAGATTCTGTATTTAAATTAGTTATTTAAAATACTAATATATATACTCTGTGCTTGCGAACATGTCAGGCCAACATGTGGCATAGCGTGGAGAGAAGTGCGAATGGTATTAGGTTAGGTTATCCAGTCTTCTATTTCTTCCGTAAAGTTGCTCAATAATGAATTGCTATCGTGGATTTTCGATGCACTCATTTACAACATTACAAACATCAAACGTGTAATATTCTCTTAATATAGGCAATTTCTCCAATAAATATGAGCCCGAAGATGGTCCGTGTATTTGTTGGAAATTTACCTCCAGATACTGTTGAGGACGATTTGAAGAAGCTCTTGAAAAAATATGGAACTGTGTTAACTGTGGAGATAAAACGACGAATAAATGATGTATTTGCTTTTGTGGACCTGGAAAATCTTAAGTTAGATGTACATACCTGTAAGTTTTGGACGTATTATTTTCTAAAAAAGTCATTCAACCATTGCAATTTAACAATTATCGTCTTTATTGTTTCAAATTAAATCTGAATAGAGAGATTTGGTGAAGTTTAAACGGAATATAATAGTATATGGTGATGTCTAAATAGCAAAATTTACTCGGAGGTAAATCATGTTTATTACTGAATTCTTTTCACAGTCAGAACATTTAAATATAATTCATAGCTAAGTAGTTATGAAGATTTAAGTGGCTGGCAATTGCAAGGCAAGAAATGTATTTCTTTGTGATAGCGCAGTGACAAAGTGAAATATGCAATCTTTATTTATTATTATTTTTTTTATAAAGAAATAACTAATGCAGAATTACTTTTTGTGAGCTTCCTTGTAAATGTAGAGATTTGAAATATTTTGATAGGTTGTATTGATGCACAACTAGGGAACCAGATATTTAAGTATGTTACGGATGAGGATAGTAGAAAATTTATTCTATATTGACTTATTTTAATTAGATGTTTGTTATTTAAAATGTAACTATATTTTGTTTTTCTATGTACTATTTGGAAAAAATTTTTGCAAAATGTGAAGGCAAAAATTATAATAAATTTCTATAAATTGTTGAAAACAATATTTTCCTTCTTACACTTAAGAAAATAACTAGTATTTTATGTGAAGTTAGTGTGGCCACTTTCTGGAAAACTAGAAAAAGTTAGCAAAATATCTGAGTTTGTGGAAAAAAAATTCATATGTCTGGGAAATTTTTAAGTCGATCATAAAATAAGATATCCATGTTAAAACTTTAGTTCAACTTTATTTTTATTTATTTTGAATTATGTTAAATGTAATTCTTAAATCTTATGAGAGGTAGAAAAGTTCAGGAAATCTGTTTCAGGAAATGAGTGTGTACTCTGACCATATTTACATTCATTTGTGTGAATGAGTATTCAGTATTACCATTAAAATTTGTTTTGTTTAATGAAACTGTAAGCAGATTTAAAAATTCATTGATTTAACACTATTCATTTATATTCAGTGTTTCATAATAACACTCACTTTTAGTGGTTACGATAATTTGTTGATATTTATTATTGAGTTAAGTTTCAAAACCTTTGTAAATTTTCAGGTCTTCAGGAATTGTCTTGGAAACAATGGAAAGGTCAGCAATTAAAAGTCCAGCTAGCAAGAGAAAGCTTTCTTCAAAGACTAGCCAGAGAGCGACTTGAAAACAGTGTTTCAGCAAAAACAGAAAAGGAGTCATTGGAAACACAACATAACATTCACAATATTCACAAGGGTCCAGAACCATGTAAAAACAATGCTGTTAACATTGTGAAGAGAAACAATCAGAAGATTGATGAAAATGAGTCTTCTGATAGCACTGACAGTAGCACAGACTCAAGTGATTCAGAAATACCTGCCAAAGGTAGTTTAAAAATGTTTCGAGGGACAGCAAATCTTCATAAAAAGGAAAAATCATCCCCAAAAAATCCCAAATTTAATGCTGACAAGATAAGTAATAACAAAATTAATGAAGAGAAAGAAATATTAGAGACGTTTGAGATGTTCAATGATGTATGGAAAGATGAACCATCCGATATTGCAGTAAAAAAGATAGCTAACCATTATGAAGAGAACAGATTTCTTAAGCAAAAAGCCTCTCTGCATGGCAGTTTTGGAATGCAAGGTGATGATTCTTCGCAAATGAATGAAGACATGAATCAAAATGGAATTGAGATACCTGTTACGATATCGCAAATAAAACAAGCTGAAGCAGAGGAAAGGCGTTTGAAAGCACTGACTGACAGAAAGAAGGAAATATTAAATAAAAAACATGCAATTCAATTTGCTTTAGCATCTGTTGATAGTCTAAGCGTTGCCAATAGACCTAACAAAAAAATTGTTTTCAATGATGATAATGCTTCTGAAGGAGAAACCGAAAACTATTTTTCTAATAAAAAACCAAAGCTAACATTATTTAGTGATGATGAAATGGAGCAGGAAACACACAACAGTAATGATTTTAGAATCAGAAAGCATTATGAGGGTGAGAAAGGCAAGTCATTGTTGTCTTTACAGGCTAGATATGGCAATGACAAACGTTTTGTTTTAGATGAAAGATTTATAGAAAGCGATGATGAACAAGAAGGAAAAAGAGAGTGTGAAGCCAATGATACTCAAGTTGAGCGAGAGAAAGTTCTCCGCATTCTAGGAAATGTTCTGGGTAAGGAAGTTCCGAACACTTGTAAAACAAAAACGAAACAAACTGCCAAATTGATGTTACGATATGATCCTTCGAAGCCTGATCATACAAAATTTGAAATTAAGAAAGATTCTAGTATTCCTAAGGCAAAGAAAAAGAAAACAGTAGAAAATGAAGAAGAAAATGAAAAAAAATCCAAAGAAGAAATTCTGCCTGTGGTTTCAAAGGAGAGGTATTATGAAGTTTCTGAAACATTGCGAGAAACATTGGAAAACAAAGATCAGAAGTTTAGCCTTTCTGCAATTTTTGGTGAAGAAAACGAAAACGAGGGTGAGAAAGGTAAGTCAGATTTTTAGACAGTAAAATCTCTCATTTGGGCATGAAAGTAAGATCTTCAAAATCATAAATTATGTTATAATTTTTAACTTGGTATAAATTGAGATAAAAATTACTTTTCAGAATAAATTATATTTCCCACTATTTTATTACAGATGTATTTAGTATGATACTATTCAAAATTTAATATGTAAATGATATGGTAAGATGTAAAGTATAAATGTAGTAAACAGAGATATACAAAGGGACAATGAAATATACTTGTCTCTAAAATCTCCAGAAGAAAATTATTTTCTGTGATTTGCCTCAAAATACATACAACCAAATCCTTTTCTAAATTGAGACGTTCATGTGTAAATAATGGTACAAACATTTTAAAGGAACTCGGTGTTTGCATTTGTGAACATGTAAGAGTTCCTCTAAAATTTTTGAAAATCTGCCTTTTATAAGCAAAAAAGGTATTTGTACTTCCATACTCGTGTTTGGTGCACGCTTTAATTTTTGGAGATAACTGACAACGAAGTGATTGTGTCATCCTCTGAGGTTTGATATGTTAGAATTTTTTTATCCAGAATGAAGCTGCAGCAATAATCCTGTGAGATGTAAATTGGTGAAATGGTTCATTGGATTTTGTGGTATTCATTTTGCACCTCCGTTTCAGTTAAATAGGAATACCCAATGCTAGTGTGTTTTCTACGAAGTAATTAGTTACGTTTATTTAATTGTAATTTGAGATGAATTGCGAAAGATAGAATATTGCTAGCTGTATGAACTGCTGAAACTGTGTGTGATGATGCTCTGAGAACAGAATTTTATCGCCTTAAGATGACTTGATTATGAAACAAACTTGTAAATAGTCAATATAATTTCTAAACATGAGTTAATTTATCGACAAGTAGGTGTTTTTAGGCTCCAATTCTGAAATAGGCTTTTTGGCATTATAAGAATGGTTGCTGTAATATTGTAGTCACGGCATGTGTATAAAATTAATTTTTAGTTTCTTTGTCAAAAGTGTAAAAAAGGCATTTGCTTAAAAATTCAATGTCTAATTATCATAGAAATTTATTTATTTTTTTTCTCTATAGATAATGATGTGAATTTGGAAGCAAAACCAATAATTGGTAGGAAAGAATGGCCACTGAAACATTTCCAAAATGATTCAAGTGCTTCAGAAGATGAAAATGAAACAAATGATCAAATTGTTCCTGAAGATCGTTTTAGTGAGCAAAACATTGGTGTGAGGCAAGAAAGCCTGTTTTTTGAAAAAAATGATGCTCGCTTTACTGGTAGGTAATGATAATTTGATCAAAGAGCATGCATTTTTAAATGTTTAATTTTAACAGTCATTATAACTATAATACATTTAAAGGTATATTTGGGCCAAGCGTTATAAGTTACTAATGTTACTTTTTTGTTTCAATATTTTTTTAATTTAATTTTCCAATTGTGTGGATTGAAGATTAAAATTCTTTCAAAGGCAGGAATATAAAATTGTATCAATTGGTGTTGATATGGATTTGAGCTAGAATTAAAATAATGTCTCTTGAAACTTTGTCTTAGTGGATAAATAAATTTTAAAAAATAGATAATAGTATGCATCCATTTACAGAATCATATTAATTCTTTTTATCATTTAGTTAACATTATTCAAGAATATTTTTCTGAAGTTCTATTTTCTTTGCCTTTATAATTGTAGGCATGTGTGACAAGTAGTACACTAATTTCTGTGTGATCTTTTATCAAAGGTATTGTGTTCACAAGGGGCAAACGATGATGAGGGACATAGCTAGGCTGCTGCAACTAGTGCATGGCAATACTTTTTTCACAAATAGTATATATGATACAGGGATTCTTTTGGAAAATTGTCTTTTCCTGTTTCATCTGATTTAATCTAACATGAAAATGGTTTGAAATATACAAAGGGATACAAAGAAAGTTAGGAAATGTTAAAAAAAATGTCAAAACAATTATGTATTTGGTCATTTTAAGGTCAAATTAATTGATTTTTGACTTGATGTGGCGAGTGTGACATGTTCACTGTACTTAGCTTCTTTGGCGTGCCTGAACTTTTGTAACACACCTTACTCAGTCACCACTGGTACTGAGGGAGGAAATTTGTTTTAGAAACTACAGCTTAATTTTTGCCTTGACTGGGAATCAAAACTAGGACTGTCCCACAGAAAGCATAGTGTCTGTGAACCACCCAAGGGCCTTTTTGTTGGTGTGATGTTTTAAAACTGGTGTAGTAATCTGTAAAATAAAATTCCTGGGCAACAAAATTTAATTTTACATTGACCTTGTTTATTAATTTACAATGAAGATTAAACTGAAAACAAACTAAAAATTACAAGAAAAAATAAAAATACTCAGCCTGAAAGTCTGAGCACCCACATAAATTTCAAGAAGTCACCGCTTCCTTAGTACACTGAAGAAAGGTATGGGAAGAAAAGTGGGGCTTTAGGCCCACAGCATACACCACCTCTTCATGTGTGAAATACCAGGGCATTGGGGTCATCCTGAGCGATTGCTCAATAAAGATAGTCATTAGTGCACTCTATGGAACAGAATGTAAACTACTAAGCTGGTTCGATTTCGACTCCATCTCATCCATAAGAGATGAATACAAATCAACACAGAATTCTTTATGCAGCGTATAATGGGCTGAAATTGTGCCAATCCGTAGGTGGCTCAGTGGTTTAGAAAGAGGCTAACACACAGCACTCTGCCCTGGGTGTTTGAAGAGAGTATTAATATGGCATAAAGGACTAAACACTCGTCTAAATGAATTACTATAAAGGAAATAAAGTTAAAAAAAATTTTACACATTTGTGGTGAAAATTTTCTTTTCCTTCCTTTTGCCAGGTGCCATGGCACTACCCTCTCAGTCACCACTGGTTGCGGCTGTTAAAATAACAAGGACAGTACAATTTAATTGCTTTAACAAAAATTTCTGATTGCTAAGAAAGTTAAAATATTTTTACTTTGTTCATGATGTATTAGGAAGCAAAATTAAAGATGGTACATCAAATCTAAAGTAGCCAAATTAAAATATTTTGCAATCTACAAGATTTAGCAAGCAACTACATTACTGGACAGTCCTGGCCTCCTGCATCCAAATCTTTTATTTCCATATGACATGTTTTATAAGGAAATAATTTAAACTTACTACAAGGAAAATGAAATTATAACTTTTGTGATACAATAGATTTTCTGTTAAACCAATTCATAGTTGCAAGGTTCGAGAGCCTCTTTCCTAAATGACGTATTATTAATTCTCCAAATTGTCAGCCAAAAAAAGGCAAAAATAAGCAATGACCTTTTATATATATATATATATATATATCTATCTCAAAAACAGTTAAATTCTGGGTGCGACGTGTTATGGGGATAAGTTAATTTGAAGTTAGATTTATGTCCAGAAGCAAAACAAGGGGCCATCTCAGCATTTGCTCGAGGATCAGGGAAAATGGACGAAAACCTGATATTTACAGAAATTACTATGTATTATTACTTTTGTATTACTAATGTATTACTTTTAGGGCTATGGGGCCCCAACCTTTTCAAATTTTCAGGAGGCCACAACCCCCCTTTCTGCACACACCTACACGTGGGACAATGTAATGTAGTAAAATGATTCAACATAAAAAGCCTCAAGAACTTTAAAATATACAATGTCTTGAATTAAGCCTGACACATCAAAATGATTAACAATACTTCCTGCTTTGTAATAAGGATATATTTTTGACTTAATAAATTAACAGACCCAAAAGTGTTGAATAAACAAGAATTCTGAATTGCGTAAGGGCTCTATTTATTATATGGAATTGTTTTTCAGTTTTAATTGTTGTGGCTTTTATGAAAGGTCTTTCTTGAACACACTTGCTTTTGTTTAAAGTATATTTTTCACTGTGTCTATAAATGTTCTCCAAGTTCATTCTTAATTTTTTCTTTTAAATGAAGTCTTACAACAAAACAATTAAAAATCTCTTCACAATTAACTTTAATTTCTGTTTGAAGTCATATGTCCTTAAACAGTAATATAACGAAACTATCATGAGTTTAATTTGAACACTTGTGTACATAATGATAATTAAGTGAAAGTAATTTAGTAAGTGACAATATTTAATTAAATATTTGTGTATTTTATTGGGAGATGTATCCTATGTAAACTTATACCAGGGTGTTTAAGAATGCTTTCTTTTTCCGGATTTTTTTTTTTAGCATGAACATTGTTAACAGTTATTCTACCAGCATGTTGGCTGAAGAAGGGCTTGAAAAGTTCCGTTAGTTCTGTTCTAATGTGGCTAATTTGATTGTACACTTTGTTATTCTCATGTATTGCAACCCCCAAGTTGTTCACCACTAATATTTTAATTTTTGCTTTCAGAGGGACTTGAATTCATCAGTTTTAGAAACGAAGAGTACATAAATAATTTTGACGAGATAAGACATCGTGTGAAAACTCTTATTAAACATAAAGTTCATAATCACAAAAAGAATTCAGAAAGATGGAGAAAAAAGTTTGGAAAAAGGAACAAGAATTCGTTTCCAGGCAAACGTTTAAAAACTAATTTCAGGAGGTGACACATTTCACCAAATATTTCTGTATAGTGAATTATATATCTTTTTATTGTAAAGTTTACAATTTCAAATACATTTCAACATGGAATATTCCATTTCATTGCCCTCATCCCTGTTACACTGTCCTGATGCTGCAAAAAGGAAAACAGATTTGAAACAATTTTCTGTAGGAGAACTCTACTACAATTACTGGAGGGCTCTTCAATATTGTTTTAAAGAATGTTTTGACAAACATGGAATGGTGAAATGAAATGAAGAGGAACGAACATGATACAGAGCTCATAGTTACTTTATACTATATGCCTTTTACAATATTGAACCTTCTCATTATCACAGCCTTCATGGACCACATTAAACATTAAATTAATATGGTAATTGTGTGTAAAATTCTGACATTATTGTTGGGAATTTTCTCGATCTCCAACGTCCATGTCAGTAACTGGTGATGAATCTTCACATTGTGTATCATCATTAAATGATTCATACTGTTCTCGACATATGTTCTGAGGAACAGCCTCACCAGATTCATTGCTACTCTCATAGGGGGTATTATTATCTTCCTTTATACTGACACTATCTTCATCTTTGGTTTTGAGTTCCTCTTCTACATCAGAGGAACTGAAATCCATGTCCTCTTCATCATCATAACCCAAAAGATCTCCTTCTAAAACCTCTCTCCATAAATTTCCATCCCAACTGCTCTCATCATCATCGTCATCTTCATCCTCATCAATATCATCATCCAGTAAGTTATCCGTACTAGCATCTGAATCACCATCACACCCTTGGAGGCAATCTATGCTCTCAAGTGTATACAAACAGGAACCAAATTGTAGTCTTGCAGCTTCTATTTGAAATCTTGGTGTAAACTGGAACGGTAATTGTAATTGTTCCTCAACCAAGCACTGAATAGCTGATGGTGTGAGCTCTTGAACTACTTCCCAATCATCAACAATATCCTCAAACTTTCGTGCAAAATCCTTACGATATTCTTTATCAAAATCAACAGAGCTATCTTCATCACAATTTTCTTCTTGTTCATAGAGATGCTTGACAACTTCAGGCACTTTCTTCAGCTTTCCAATGAGCTCACTTGCTGCCCCTGGCAAAACAAATATACTCTTAGAGGTAAGCACGCTATGAATATAAAAAACTGATAAAATGGTTTTACTTACGTGGTGTTTTTTCAAAAAATACTCTATGAATAATTCTACGGACACACAGTTGTTGCAGGCCTGCTTTAACATTGCCAAACATAAGAACTGCAACATCATCATGTTTCAAAGCTTGCGGCACCATAGCATCCATATTAAACTTAGTTTCACTCTCCAACACACTTTGCAGTTCCAGCAATATTTTTTCTGGGAAGCACTCGCAAAAGTATGTGCTGTCAATAACTGGATACACTGCTGATGACATAACTTTGTTGAATAAGTCTATGTTAAAGTCACAAGTTTGAAACTCATATCCAGGAAGGGTTGTCTGACAAGCTGTAGCATAATGTAAATATGGAGATGAATTTTGAAGAAGAGGAGCAAAAATTGCAGACAATCCAGATTTTACTGTTTCTCGAGCATAAGAATAAAGGTACTTTTTCCCCCTATGCCATTTCCCACAAGCAACAGTTGCTCGAGGAGTTGGGTCGGCACCTCTCTCCAATAATTCAATAGCTAGCTGGGGGGATCCTGCAAGCATAGCACGCCACAATGTAGTTTCATTTGAGCAATTTTGGGCATCGAGTGATGAAATCTGTAAAAGAGATAAGTTTTAATAGTTGTAAGTGATAATTAAATGATAATATTACGCTGTGGGCATTTCCTATACATACATCAGGTCTTTTTTCCCATATTTTAGATAATATTTCAAGTGCAGAGTCACAGTCCGCATATGTGACTAGGTCCATAAGAGGAGTTGTGCCATGAACATTTGTCTGGTTTAAGTCACCACCTGAATGTCATTCACAAAAAGGAAATGCAACTGTAAAAACTAATCTGCTTCCTAATCCTTCACATATCTTTGAACATACCTGCTTCACACAATTTCATAACGAAATTAATATCAGGGTCGGCATCTAACAACGCATAATGGTACAACGTGGAATTTGATTGTGTAGTAGTCACATTTGGATTTCCACCACATTCTGCAATGACAATTTTTTTCACAGAGCCATCACAATCAATTTAACAATAAAAAAATGTATTAGATATGAAGAATTTATCCTGTCGTATTATTATTACCAAGGAAAATATCTAATAGTTCTAGCAGCTGTTCCTTCATTTCTAAAGGGGTTAATTGTTCTTCATCATGCAATCCTACAGCATTTAGTGGGCTAGTATCAATTTCATCACCAGTTCTGAAATAAAAACAAAGCAAAAGATAAGTAAATTACTTTTTATAAATTTTAACACTATGTCAAAAGCATAACTGAACTCACAATTCAGCTTCTCCATATCTACAGAGTTCTTTGACTCGCATATATAAGTCAACCAAATACTCCATAGGGCTTGGGCTAGCTCCTTGCCACTCAGCCTGGGGAATCCGCAAATTTGCATTTGCACCCCTCTCCACAAGTAATTTAGCTAAACGTAGATGACGAGTTGTGCTTATGGCATGATCACCTGAGAGAACTAGAGCAAGAGGAATTTTCTCAAATGGACCTGAAACAATGTGCATTGTTGAAATAAAATATTGGATACACCTGTCCAGTCAGTTAAGAATGCTTTCCTAATTTTCAAATAATTGGAAGTAAAATCATTTGTTTATAATTTTAACACACTACCTTCATCCAAATACCCGTCTTCAAAGTTTTCCATTATCAATTTTTCTGCGGTCTTATAATCGCCTTTCACAAGAGCAACCGTTAACGGTGTATCGTTTATGCCCACTTGCACTTGATTGGGATACATATCAGCTCGATTATTTGTCATACTGCATAGAATAGCACAGGTAATCCTACACCAATTATACGGCCACTAAATTTTGTTACTGAATTGGTACATTTTTTAAAAATACCCAAACTAACTATTATATAGATAATCACACCAATCACTCTTGTTTTTGTCTTTACAATTGTCTGACACAAATTGAATCAATTAAAAATCGTATTAACCATCTGGTAGCTATTTCAGAGCAGTAATCTCATTCAGAATCAGGAACAGAACCGAACGGGGAGTGTTCTCCGCACCGCGCTTTCCCCGTCAATTGTTTCTCACATCCGTCAACCCTGTCAACATGAGAGAAGAGCAAGCAGAGATACCGTAACGTTCCAAGGATGTCCGAAGGCAACCTCGAAAACTTGTCTTCAACGCGTTCCTGCTGAGATCTGTACTAACTTAGAGTATTATAAATACGTCTGTACTTTCGCAGCTCGTCTTGGATGTAGGATTGGATAAGTAGTAGGTAAACGTATCGATGATTTGTTGAATATATATTTGTTCTTATGCTTAATGTTTAACTTAGATGGGTTGGTTCAGTTTTTTTTTGAACCGTGATGTAATAAAATTCTCGTAAGTGTCAATGCAGCATGCAGGTCCGGCGGATGATGTGGGTATGGTGGGTATACCCACACGAAAACTTCAGAGTGGGTGAAATACCCACTCGGAATTTGTGGTAAGAAATATTCCATAAGCGTCAGATTCCAGAAATTAACGAAATTTCTCGGTATTACGTCGACCTAAAAGGTTAATGCGATCTACTATGGTGCAAGATCGGATCAATTGCGCTTTTTTTTCATAAAGACGATGCGACAAATCAATGCAAATTGTTAAATGAGTTTATATAAAAAAAGCGCAGAGTAGTTTTTGCATTTTTTCAAAAATTATCTGCTTAAGTTACATTAAATAAATGTGATAACTTGAAAAATATGTTTTGTAATTTTCCCTTCATATACATTTTTGGTGGATAATGGAGAGGGTAGCCACCCTCCCCCCGGGTCATCTACCCACTCGAACTTATCACCAATCGCCGACTCTGGCTGCATGTATATGCTAATATGGACCATTTAGCAGCTAATATGCACCATTTTAAAATGTATGTGAACAAACAAAACAAAACTCAAAACTTAATTCATACGCTGCCATAATGCTGTGTGTATTGTTTCGAGGCAACATTTCACAAAGTTCGTTACACAATACTCTCATTTACCTTTTTATTATTTCATTTTATGTGGAAAAAAATATTTAGGTAAGGCTTTAATTTAAATACTGTTAAATCATTGAAGTTTAAATTTATATTGTATGTTTAAAATCTAATGAATGAAAATGTTTTAATGTGAAGTGCCTTTAAAGATATGTAGGAGCTTAAAAATTGGTTGATTTTTATTACAATATTTATTTACTAACTTCAGAAACCCAGCATTGCTCAGACATTTGTAGCAAATCCTCTATTAGAAAACTGGCCTACATGGTGTTACCTGGGTTTTGCATAAATGTGATTTACACAAACACTAGTAACTGCATTTGCTTCACCTGCTGAGGTGAAAAAACATGAAGCATAATTGAGTTTAAAATTTTTATGGAAGATATATTTTCATCTACTAATATAAAACTGTAATATAAAAAGATATATGTGTTAGTAACAAAATTTTTAAATGTTATTAATCAACTTGCTTTGTTGGTCATTTTATTCATCCAGCTCAAGAAAACATGTGCAGACTGTACTTTTCCCCCATATGTCACTTAGAGTTTTTACTTTTCATTGACAAAATAGATCAAATCGAAGTGCCCTTCATTGCTCTAACGAGATCTCTTAGACAGGAAATCTATCTATTCCAGTGCATCACTTCCCCACTTGGCCTCGGCATGCCTTGCAGTGCCAGTGCGTCCCTATCCCAAACCCCTAGTCTGCTTCACTCACTATCTATCTAAAATAATTAAATCTATGTTAAAATAGAAATAAAATACCTTTACTCAAGTACATGCTAATTGTGGAGTTTTTATACTGTACCAATACAATAAACTACACTTCCCTACAAAAATCATCCAATCTTTCACAGTTTCAGCATCAACAGAAGTTTATTTATATTGTGTAAATACCAACTCACATTTATAAAAATGTGATTTATAAATATATATCATCTCATCATATCAAATGAATAAATGTGTTCTATATATTGAATTTGTGATATTGGCGAATGTTATTGTTCTCAAATCGAAACAGTTCAAATTATGCAATTAAATGTAAAATAAACAACCACTCACCAGAGGTGTAATATTTTTTCAATAATTATTTTTTTCTTTGCAGTTTTATTCTTCATTAATTTATTCCTTTATTACACTTAATACTTCTAAATGTCTCAAAACAACATATTGACAGTTAAGTTCTCTGCTCTCGGTTGTTTGATATTTAGATTTTAACAGAGGGCAAACTACCATAGTTAGGCTGCATTTACTCTAAAGCCATTTTGTATTTTTTTAATGCACATTTTGAGGTTGTATTTTAAATTACAACCTCACTGTTTGATTTTCGGTCACTCAAAAGTACTTGTACCAAATTTGGGCACGCTCCCTCCCATGGTACTAATTTTTTATGGCGTGTACCATTGTAAACAACTTTGCTTTTGTAAAATAGCTTACTTAAAATGCACATTTAATTAAGTCAGTTGAAAACTCCCCTTAAACAGGATAAAAGGATACATCAAATCATCAATAGGAATTTAATGCAAGCTATACAAAAAGTTTAAAGAAAAAATTTGGGGCAATTTTTGAGGAAATCTTGTTTTTAATATTGCCCCTGTTCATTACAAATTACGCAAATTAATAGTAATTTAATAGGGTTAATAGTAAAAAAAACACGGAATAAAGGTAATCTTTATAAGATGATTTCACTTTCCATTACTTTCTCGCTCCAGCTTATGCTGTAGAGAGAAAGTTATGTGAAGTTGCGGGAAAGGCGGAGAATTATAAAAACTCATTGTCGGGTCCTTGTAAAGAAAAAGTGGATAAATCCAATTCCCAAAAAGAATTAGAAAAAAGTCTCTAAAACGTGGTGTGTCCAGAATCCATATTTCAAGGGTCCTTAATACCGAAAAATCGACTGAATGCAAAACCACTGTCTGTCCGACTGAACAACGTTAGCGGCTGAACCGTTCAGACGCTTTTCTCCAAATTTGACATTCCCATACCGATCTAGCTGGTGGTGAGGGTCCTTGAATTTAAATCGAAATTTTAGATTGAAGTCTCATGACTCTCCTGGAACATTTTCAAATTTAGCACCAATGTTTTTAATTAAATTTAGTTGTTGATAGTGAACGTTAATGAGAATGGTGCAGGTCTCATGTTCATTGAAAACCCTGATTTTGAAAAATTGCAAAAGTTTCAACTTTTTTCGGCGTTCCTACTACTAACATTTATTATATTAAAGATTCGATATCTTTCTCTTAGTGAAATGTGGTTCTTAAAGATTGTTTTTGAAATAAGGGCATGTATAATTTTTCGAAAATTGGAGTATTTTTCGCGTAATTTTGTGTAAAATAAATACTATTTTTAATTTTGTTTAACAATTTTTACATTCCCGTAGATACGCATATACGGAGTACTATACGTAATATATTGCAATTTTTAAAAGTAACAAAAATTAAATTTTCTCAAAAACTGCTCCAAATATTTTGTTTAAACTTTGGGTAGTGTTAAATGTCTTATATAAGACGACACAAACGCCATATTGCTCTACTGTCTTTTTTTCTTTCAAAAATTACAAAGAAATTTTTTGACTGGTCTCTCACGTCGTTAATATTCATATTAGCGGCAATTTGTCACATTATTATGAGTACACGTGCTTTAAATAACGTCAGATATAGTTTCTCGAAAACTCGACCGTTTTCTGCGGGAACTAACTCAAAATTTCGCATTTTTAGAAACGCTCAAACGCTATTTTCTCACACATGGCTCCAAATTTTTTCTTCAAACTTTTAGAACGGATCGTGCTAATTACACTCATTGAGATAACATAAGATCTATTTGGCTGTATGTTTTGTTTTTTCAAAAATCACACAAATGTTAGTTTTTAAAATTTTTTTTATATCACTCTCAATTTGTAAACACTATTGCATTTGTGTGTAAACGTGCTTCAAATTACTTCTAATGAAGATTTTGGAAAACTCACAAATTTTATGGGAGCTACATTTTCTTAAAAACGGCTCCAAGTTTTTCAAAAAATTTGCGTTTACGGCGGTTTTACTGTTCTTTAATATTCGTAATATAATATTTCCGTTTTACTATTAGGAAACTGAAGAATTAAGAAAATTTCAAAGTAATTTAGGCATTCATAGATGGCAGCTGGCATCAGTATGTGGCAAGTTTGTATAGCTAGCTAGTCGAGACCAAAGGAAATAGAAAACTAATACGGGAAAGTCTGTGCCATTTTGTAGCAACACTAATGAAATTTGTTCGTCAAAGTCAGATCTTCAAACAAGGTCACGTTGAATGTTTCGAAAATATGGATATTTTTTGTGTAATTTGGCGTCATAGTTGCCCGCTCCGAATTTCCTGTGCTTCGTGAACGTAATAAAGGTGATTTCTGGCAGTTGGATGCTCCGCGAGTTAGAATTTGTATACTATTTCATATTTTTTTGTTCGTGTCTTATTGTCAAGTCTTTGTTTACAAATAACAAATTAATGTCTTAGAACTTATTAAAAAAATATTTAAATATGTGAAAGAAAAATTGCTAGTCTTCAGGGAATATCAGATTGGAATGGAACAATGGCATTCCGCGCCGTCAGACAGAAACTGAATATCTGTGATTTACGTCTCTTTGTTGGGACATGGTTTAACTGTATGAAAAGCAGTTGTAATTGTCCAATACTGTTGATATTTGCTTGAAAATATTTAGTTTCGTCACCAAATGTTCTACGATATGAGTTTTACAAAAAATGATGACAGATGTGTTGATTTGGAGATAATTTTTGATATAAATAGATTATATAACGATTACTTAGGGTGAGAAAGTACGTGCTGTTGTAGCACCACCAATTTCTTTCAAGAAATTTGAAAAAACAAAAAATAAAGCAATTTTTGAGAATATTTTGAAAATGTCCCAGTGGCTTTGAAGTACCTCAAAAATTTAAAGAATACCTCTCAAATCGCTGAGCTTTATGACAGCCAAGACATCGATCGGCGAATATTCATTCTGGGAAAAATACTACGAATAGTTTGGGCGCAAGTGTTATTTGTATTTAAAGATCGGACGGACAGATGGACAGACATTTTGAAAACTAATGGTGCTACGGAATGGCATAGACTTTCTCGCACAAGTTGGTTTTCTAAACTCTTCAGTTTAAATTACCTTTTTGGTTTAACCCTGCTTCCACTTCGTGCCGCCTCAATTTTTCATATTTAATCAATGTTTCGGACTCGTAATGGTAAATCTAATATATCATAAATATTCCCAGAAATTTTTTGCTGCCAATATATTTCACAGTTAGAGAAATTGAGACTATTGTGATTATAAACATATAGGATTAGAATACACAAGCCACCAATATTTCTATTCCCCAGAAATTACACAAATGTTTTTTTCTAATATCTCTCTTGCTGTTAATATGCACATTTCCATTCATAATATATTAATTGTATCATTATTATTATTATAATTTTATTATCCCTAATATTTTGCTTATTTACTTCTAAAATATGACAAATATAAGTAAAAAATTTATATAAAAGGGGGTCTGAAATGCTCTCTCCCCACTCGTTTGAGGATGCGCATGAATATGAGCAGGTTTAAGTTTAAAAAAATGTGTGCTGTCAAACCATATTTGAATATTTTGAATAAAAAATCATTCAAACATACTGCTTTTTATTCATTCTACAATGAAAGATTACTTAAGAAACATTTGAATTGCTGTTTCAACAGTACAAATAAGATCTTACCTTCAATGCCAGAAACATAGAGTATTTGTAGTTTAATTTTATTATTTTCCATTTCCAGTTGAAAACTAACAAAATTTACATTTTTATAAATCTGTGAATTTAATACATTAGTAAAAATTACAGACAATTATGAAAAAGTAGTATGTTAAATTATACAACAATTTTTAAGGCATATGTAATTTGAAATTGACACATTACAATTTTGGTTAATTTATCTAAGCTAGATCAGGAACTTTGTGATTGAAATTTTTGTATATCAGAAATAAAACCATAAATATGTACAAAGTAGAATATTCAAAATTACATAATAAAATGTTGACTGTTTGGAATGAGAAGCAACTTTGATGTATAGTATTTTTGAAAGAATATTTAAAATTGAAATTTCAAATGGAACAAAGTAGTTCTTCATAAATTTATGGAATGACCACGTAGTATAAGTAAAAATATTATAAATGAATCTATTCTAAATAGTACTTCTGATTAACTTATCTATCTTCTATCTATCTATATATATATATATATATATATATATATATATATATATGTATATATATCTATACTATATATTTATATTCTATGATATATATATATATATATATATATATATATATATATAATTATATATATATATATATGTCATGTGAGTATTTCTTTTCATAAATTATAAAATATTTTAGATAAATCAGGAATTTAGGAATTTACCTGATTGCCATCCTCAAAGGAATGTAAATAATTGTGAAATAATGAAAGGGTCAGTGAATGAGAATGTAACAATTAATTTTTGTGAGGACCCATTTATTGTTTGATGGACATACCCTATGGGCAAAATAATTAGTGAGATCAGGTCCAAAACAGACTGATATGTTATCTAACAAAAACATTTTTAAAAAAAATTGACTAAATTGAGTGAGGGTTGTGCAGGGAAGCAACAAACTAAGCTAATCTGAAATCATGGTTTCAGACTGTATTACAACAACCCTTTCAATAGTTAACCTAGTACACCTTGCAACTTCCTTTGGAAACATTTACATACTGTATTATCAAAGTTATAATATATTTCTAAATACTATACCATTTTCTGTGAAAACGATAATATATTTAAACAATTCCCAAATTCAAAGGAATTTTTCAGGTCTGTTCTGTGGACCTACAAAAATTATTCACCTCTGATATGCAGTATATATTGCTTTTGTAAGGCTGTCTTCATATTTTCAACAATTTACTATAAAAGGTTTTTCACTGGATGTACAAATAGGGTAGGGTGACCATCCATTCCAATTCTCTGGGGATGGGATCGTCACCAGGTTTTGGTATTCGTTCCCTCTGTTTGGGTCCCCGGATTTGAAACTTTTATGAAAAACAAATTCGTACAAAGTTTACAAATAACAAAATTACTGTTCGTTCTGAATTAAGTTTTCAGTACTTTTGTCTTCTCCGGCATATTTTGCATCCGGCATTATAGTACAATTTCCTTTTTTACTGCACCATTTGATGGCTTTGAAAAACATTGCAGTTAACATTTAATCGATATATGTACTCTTCTATCTCTTTGGAGAGATAGAAGATATTCTATCTCATTGGAGAGAAAAAACATGAAATATTTGTGTTCGAACTGATTTGGCGGGAAGCTAAATGCATTTGAAAACCGACGTTTATCCCTATACAGTATTTGAGTAACTGCGAATGTGTGTGTGTGAGCGCGCGCGCGCGCCGTCACGACTAGACCGCTTCCCATGTATTGAGTCATATGAGATGTCTCTCGACGCGTCTCGGTCTCCTGGTGAGAAACTGATTATTTATTTTGGGATCCGGCCAGAAGATTATATAAAAGGGTATAAACGATTAAGAAGGTTAAAAGTACCCCAAACCAAATCGATAATCGCGATATTCATATGAGTTTTTATAATTGAATTTCTTTCTAAAATCAAATCCCCCTCCGACCGTTAGCTTGCCTGGCGAAAAGCAATTATTAATTCACTAATTTCTATGAAATAATTTTTATTTCAATTAATTTATTTCGACTTAGATATGGAACGTTTTATTTTATTGCTTTTAATAATAGGTATAAATAGTATAAAATGCAGTAAAATGTGAATAATCGTTTCAGCTCCCATGCATAGAAAACATCTTCCGCAGCTTAATGTTTATTGATTGGAATGTTGCACTTTGCGTAATGCATTCGGCAAAATAGCACTGTGTCATAACAGGATGCAGTTTTTATATGGCCACATAAATTAAAAATACTGGATGATACGAAGCAACATGGCTGCTGACTTGCATATTGTGAACTGAAGAGTATGTGTCCATGTTACTAAAAAAAGCAGCTCGTACGAAAGTGTTTTCGGCACAGTCTTTTCTAAATTTCGTTCTCGGCTGTCTTCGTCTCGTTCAGGGTCATTCGTATGCCAGAGACATGTATTAGTCTCGTAAACAACATTTTTGTTCTTTATTTCATGTTAGGTGGGTATTGAGCTGGCTGACCTGAAAAAAAAACAACAAAAAACAACAGATTACTTCTAAGTTATGTATGTTATTGTGATGAAATGGTTCGTACGTGATTTGTAATTAGGTTTATTTCATTACTGCATGAGGTTTTATTCTTGGTTACTCTGTTACTTTTTTGTGATATTCTATTTTCATTGAAACATCATTCAGTAATATACGAACTGATTTATACTTGTAAATACTTATGATTAAAAAAACAAATCATCCATTGTTCTGCCTCAACAGGCTTACGTGAATTGCTTATTTGGCATATAAGACAGTTTACCGATATTTTGAAATTTATGCTAATTTTTAGTCAGTAATTGAGTGTGATGACTGAGTAATATGATAGTGAAAATTATCTGAATTTTGCATAAAAAAATTGAGTATTCATTACGATTAAATGAAATTTCAAATACATGGTAATTGTGTTATACGTATTGTTTTGACTTCGGACGTGGATATAATATATGTTCTAGTGTTTTTGGTACCTTGTTGATGTGGAGCATTTTGTGGGATCATTACTGTTCCTTGGGGATAAGGAAAAGATCCCTGTGCTCCATGATTTCCTTGTGGATAAATAACCCCTCCCTGTTGATATGGAGCTCCTTGAACATACATCGATCCTTGAGCAAACACTTGACCTTGGGTTCCTGGTGGATAGTGCCCTGCTTGTTGGTGGACAACCACTCCTGCTGGGTAAGGATATGGATGTTGCGGGGTAACAGTAGATATTCCACCTGGAACTGAATAAAATACTTGAACGCAAATTTACTACCATCACCAAAACAAATTTTGGACTTTGATACCTTGGAATTTTGGAGAAATTGCAATGAGAATATTTAATTTAATAAAGAGTTATTAATCTCAGGAAGAAAACATACCTGGACGTGCATTGGTATAAGTAACAACACCATGTGAGTTCCTCATTTTGTACCAGCAACATATAGGACAATAGAAGCAAAGCGCAGTGAGTCCAAAAACTAATATTATTGATCCAAATGTTAGACCCAAAATGAGGCCCATCCTGCATGAAAAAGAAAATTCATTTTTAAGATAATATTTTGGACAGAAATATTTCTACATTATAACTACAGTACTCTGACGGGTCACATTATTTTTTTTATGAAGTCATACATGTGAGATCTACAGCACTTAGCTCATAAAGGGCTGTCACATGACGTGCGATGGAGAGGAGATATGAGGAGCGTTTATACAAATAACATGTCCATCAAATCAGATTTTCAGGAACCGCGAAAAACTGATTGATGATAAGTTATCATATTTTCAAGCGATGTAAAATACTGTACTGCTTAGCAGTATTGTTGCAATGGTCTACGTTTATGCTATCAAATCAGTTATATATAATTATGACGATATTTCAGGTTAAAGGTTGAACTTGATTGCTTTTGATCGAAAATGTTGGACATGTTTGCTTTTGCCCGAAGCACTTGCGAACATGTTTGCTTTTGCATAAAATAAGGCAACTATTGTCATTAAATTTGACTGGGATAAATTATTTTATTGCAGTTCGGGGGTAAATATTTCATTTTTCCAAACAGAGAAAACTACTACAATTTCTGTTGCTATGTGAACATTTTGGGCCTCTAAATAAATTACAAAAAACTAAACATAAATTATAATCTATATGTGGCACTCATGATCATCTTCTAAACAATCAAAATTATCTTTCAGTTCTTGACTATCCATTACAATTTAATTTTCAGCTATTGGTTTACCAAGAACAGAGGAATACCACTCCAGGTCAGTAGTATCTGAAGAATTTCACCTCTGGTCTCCTTTCAGTCAACGACCTTTCAGACGTTCAGACAATAGACCTGCTTCATCTGATCTCTTTGCAAATGGTATATCCCTTTGAAGTGGCATCTGCTAATGGGGAAATTGTGTCATTTTCGATAATGAAAAAACACTTTTTCAAAGGGCCAAAGCAGAAGCTTCTTCATCAAATCTAAAATATTGCTGAGGGTTTACTGTAACTGTTTGAATCTTCATCCCTTTCATTGTTTTCTGAATAATAATTCGCTTCACATTTCTGATGTTCTGTACGTTCTCGCACATTCTACTCAAGATTGTGTGTCCTTGAGATCCTAAACTACTCCTAAGATCTTCACAGTTCCATAGTTTTTGTACACGGCATAGTACTCTTATCTTGTAAAAACAGAAATGAGATGCCACGAACAGGAAAGTGCAATACTATTTCAGTCATACTTTCTGGGCATCTGGCGATGAAGTACCTCAAGGCCTGAACGACTACGTTATTTTTATTCTGCCCACCGCATCCATCGCAGAAAAGCGATGCCCTCAAGATCAACATTGCTTTCCAGAAAATTAAGCAAGGCCGAAGATACTTCAATGGATCCTCTCCCCGCTTGATCTTCTGTCCACGTATAAAAATGGTAATACACAAATTGTAAAACCCTTTTTGGCGAGCGTAATATGGTTGCTGTGTAGACGATTTAGGAAGAGATTGAACCTGTTGGAGGTCAAAACAATAACTGAATGTATCATCACAATCTTCTTAACAAACCAGTTCATAAAATGCCATAGATCATTTCTTGTGTATTCTGTTCTGTATCATCAAGTCAGCTTTTAAAGCAGTTTACTCTGTGGCCTTTATTTGTCGGTTAAGATGAAAGAAATAACTGCAGATGTGTGTAGCAAGGGATTGGAAATCAATATATTCAGAACAAAACACACGACGGAACATTGATTTTCATGTATGAAATTCGGAAGAAACAAATTGAAAAGTTTTGATATCGTCAATTCACTATGTAAATACGCACGGGATGACTTTTTTCTATTATAGTGAGACTCAGTGCCTCTCAGGTTTCCAATGAATTCTTTGATTTTATTCTTCTTTGCTGTGGACTTAAACTCACTTCCGTCTTTTCTTTAATACTTGTACTAACTCTTGATTAGTTTGCAGATGATGAATTGCGAAGGTTTGACACAAGTCAAGTGGAAAATAAATTTCTTACAAATCGAATGGAGTTTTCCGGTCTTATTTGGCACGCAATATTTAACGTGAAACGAGTGCAGTTTGGTTTTATTTTGTCCATTTTTACGAACACGTGGTCGACGATGTTACACGTTTAAAAAACTAATCCAACCAGTTATTTTGTTGTCTTGCAATACCTTTTCTGGACTATTCTTCAACAACGATCTGGTAGTCATTGAGACTTATAAAGTACCGACATTTATTGCTTACTTGCGTAGGTTACAATACGTCGCAAGGTGAAATGTTTAAGGAAATGCAGGAAATGTGGCTAATGCGTGCAAAGAGTTATTGGGGTGATTTCAAAGGGATAATCTTCGAACATTCTCGACAACAAACACATGGTGAAAGTGTATGAACACTATGCAATACAGTATATCTTTTTGCATGATGTGCCTGTGGATCTGTAATGAATACGGATGCAATGCAGCTACGTGGAATAGTTGACATGCGACGTTTTGAAGGTATTACGGGTTTTTGTCTACGACGGTGAACACAAGCGATCGGTGAAATGTGTGATCTCCCAGACTTTGAAAGAGGGCACATCGCTAGTGTGCGGTTAGCGGAAGCATGCGGAATGAAAACAGCGAAACTGTTTGTTTCACGAGCAATCGTGCCCATGGTAATAACAACATCCATGATAAAACATCATAACGAAGAGGAATAGAGGGCGAAAGTCGAAGTTAACCGACAGAGAATTGAAACGCATTGTGGCCAGAAAACGTAAAACTACCGTGGCAAATGTGACTGCAGAATTCATCCCTCACTTGAGTAATACTGTTTCCACAAATCAGTACGGCGGGAGCTTCACAAATCTAACATTCAAGGGAGAGCTGCAATTGCGAAACCCTTCATAACGGAAGCCAACGCAAAGCTGCGAAAGTGGTGCCACGATCATAAAACCTGGACACTTCATGACCGAAAGAATTCGGTATGGTCCGATGAATCATCGTTTGCATTTTTCCTACGAACGGCCGGGTTTACGGAGACCCCCAAAACAAGCTTACGGTCTGGCACAATCAAGCACGGGGGATTTTCCGTTTTGATTTGGATTGCTCTGTCGTTGTTTTCAGCGGGTCCTATCATTACCTTCACTGGCCGGATTACGTTTTTTGTTTCAATTATTTCTACTTGGTCCGAAGGCTCTCAGCAGCCGAGTTCGATAGTTGAGGGTTCATTTAATTATATTAGCCTTGTTTACGATACGTTCACAGATGAAGACAATGAGTACACATGGATTGAATGTGCGAAGCCACATCAGGTACATGATGATCAAGGGGGGTCGAATAACTGTCGCAGTAGTTTTCGCTTTAGTCTGTTGTGGTTAGGAATTTGTTTTCCGATTTTGAAATATACGGCTGAGGGAATCTGGGGAACTAGCATTTTTTATAATCTGGGATTACAATGAATAATGGTTATATTGTTCCAGAATTTGTAAACCTCCTTCACTGAACTGATACTTAACACTGAACGACATGACACAATTATTTCGGGTTTTTCTATTTCCCGAGTGATATGTAGAACTTTTATACAGTCACATTCCGGACATATACAATTTTCGGGGTGCATCCTTATAACTCATAATTTTAAAATGTGTCCCAAATTTCCGAACCATTTATCACCCGGATCGATATTTGTGTCTTGGATGGTTTGATCGATGGCATCACTCCATTCAACTGTAGACCTGTAAACGATGTCATTCGCCTGTTAACTTCCTTTCACGTATTTCCTAAGGAGATAAAGTATTATAACTAGCGGTGCTTCTTAATGGTATAGACTTCCTCGTGCTAATTACTTTTCTAATTACTGTAGTCTGTGCTAGCTTCACATTCTTGCCCCATCCTCTTGCCAGCTGCTATCTGACGCCGCACAAAAACAGTTTTTTCTAACTTTTCTCAATTTTTAGGGTTGGTAATGGTAGATTTGAATTACTACTTTAAGAATATAAATGAAGAGTACAGCCACGTCCTAAATAGCAATTTTCATTGAAATAATGTGGAGCCGTTTTTAAGAAAATGGCGTTTAAGCGTTACTGAAAATATGACATTTGAAGCTCTTTCTCACAGAACATTTTTGAGTTTTCGTAAAACTTCAATTAAAGCCATTTGAGTTAATTTAACTCGCAAATGCAATAGTGTTTATAAACAGCTGGAAATGTACATATTAACGGCGTAAAATATATAAAAAAATACATTAGTGTATTTTTTGATAAAATAAATTAGTGGTGCTACAATATGACACAGAATTTCCCGTATTAGTTTTCTATTTCCTTTGGTCACGGCTAACTATTCGGTCTTGCCACATACTCTTGCCAGCTGCTGTCTATCGCCGCGCAAAAGTACATTTTTTTGAAATGTCCTTACTTTCTCGGTTTACAAATAGTAGAACGAAAATATTATTTTAAGAATATTAAAGAACAGTAAAACCGCCCTAATTGGCAATTTCCTTTGAAACATTTGGATCCGTTTTTAAGAAAATGGCGTTTAAGAGTTACTGTAAATATAAAATTTGAAGCTCGTTTTCACAGAACATTTTTGAGTTTCCGAAAAACTTCATTTAGAGTTATTTGAAGCACATTAACTCACAATTAGAAAAGTGTTTAAATACATTACATTTGTGTAAATTTGAAAAAAAAAAAAATGTACCCCACGATGAACTTGGCGTCATATTAGTGACTCGATTTATCCACATTTTTTGTAAACAGAGCCAGATATTTTTTTTTTTGCCGGAGATTCGCTGTTTTTTCCGCGCAGAATTACATAACTTTCCCTACACTACGTATATACGTATGTATACGGGAAAGTAAAAATGATGAAACACTATTGGAACTGTACTCTTACGACGAAAGGCAACTCAGGAGTGAGCAGCCAGAATTTTCGTAAATATTTAGATGTCAATTGCATTTATTTAATTACTGTATTGATATTATTAGCCAAGCGAATGCACATAGTTTTCACAACGCTGCGCTGGCAACAATGCGTTGCTCTTTTCTATATAATTTGCTGCGTATACTGTATCAGTCAAGTGTATTCCTGTTTGTTTCATTTGTCAAAGCAAGACATGATTACTGCTCTTTACTATCGAAATTAATGAGATATGCATCACAAGCGCTTTGTTTGAATTGAACGTTATCAAGTTTTGTACCCTACACAAATCACACTCATCTTGTAAA